GATTTATAATTGACGACATATCTGGTTTTGGTATGTCTATATGCGCAGCAAATATATATAATAACACATCCAAACAGCAAATAGAGATTTAAATAAAGTGCAAATTTGACTAGACAGGTAATTAAGCTTAGTATAACAGATGCCAAATGTTTATCAAACAATTTTCCTTCACTTAACGCTCTGTGTTACAAACAAAACATTTGGATGAAACTTGTCCTTTAATTTCTTCCAAATTTCTTATAATTGGTGGATCGGGTGCATCGATACGCTTCATATATTTTATTACATGCTTTTATTGCACCGAAATTATTTGGAAAAAAGCTTGATTTCTTCGTTTGTGGATTGGATACTAAAGACATCCAATTAGCAGACAATATACATGGTGTTTATTTCACAAGAATACGATTAAAAGAGATTGGGAAGTGAGATGAGATTATGATTCTCACAAAAACTCGGAGATTCTCAACTCAAAGTGGTGTAACATAAATTTGGCATTACATAATGTTTTCGATTACGTATTAATTTTTCCTAAACATTCTATACAGTCATAGTTTCTTAGATAGCAATTTGTCAGCCACAATTACATCTTAAAATGAGTGGCGCCAATTTCTAATGACCCAATCTCATTGTAATTTTTTTATTTATTATACTTAAGTGTTGCAACTTTTAGTTCGTCTAGTAACATTATCTAATAAACAATCCAAGCAAGAACAATTGAACACTACAACACATGCAATAAATATGAATGACATACATCTGCTGGAAAAAGCAACTAAACCCAGTTTTGATAAGATATTTGTAATAGAGGAAATATGAGCTTCTTAAGATATGAGCTAAAAAAATATGAATGAATATGAAAAAAAAATGAAAAATTACTTTTTAAAATGGCTTCCAAATACATATTGAGTAAAGTCTGACATTAAATTAGTTGTTTGATCCAACCATTTGATTAGTCAGTTTTTTTTTTTGAGTAACTTCCTTGACTTTTGTTTGACTGACTAAAGAATATGATATTATTCAGATATTTGGAAAATCCATAAATAATGAAGTAATTGAGTAATTCCAAAATTATGAGTAGGGACCGATTTCATAAATGCAGTTGGCAACTTTTAACTCATTGATGAAGGATCACAGAGTGAAAAAAATCTTGTTCGTAAACCTAATATCTCATGATTGCGCCAACTCATTTGGATAAAATTTGGCGCGAGTACCTACACTTGACGTAATGTGTTTTACGTAATTTTTTAAAGTAATATGTAGTATAATTTGAATTTCAAAGAAAAATTTTTTTTCAGCATAGAAAACTGAGAAAATCCGTAATTTTCTGGAGTTTTGTGCAATTGTATCGGAAAACAATTTTATTTTTATTAGTTTTATTTATAAATATTTGATTGGGAAAAAAAATTATATTTGAATACTGAAGAGTTTAACAACATAATAAAATAATTGTCATTTTTCCACCAAAAACCACGTTTTTCAGAGTTTAATAGATTTTTCCGGAAAAATCCTAAGACGCTTGTTTCGCTTGGTAGCAGCAGATTTAATTGCATAGCCACCATTGTTTGCGCAAAACATTTTCAATTCTTATTATTGACTTTACAGCAAAAAGTGTAAAATAGGGTGTTTTACACCTCCTCATGAATTTGCCGGCTGTGGAAATTATTTTTAGGTATTGCTTAAATTTTTTGTTTATTCCACATTATGTCAAGTATACACGCGCTAAATTTGATCCAGATCTGTTGCCCGATATTCAGATATTAGGTTTACAAGCAATAATTTTTTTCACCCTGCATGCCACTGATACTTTATTTCTACAGCTACTAACTACTACCGAGTGTTTTCTTCAATCTTTCATTGACCATTCATTAAATTCGACAAAGGAGTATTGAAATGTAGGTTAACAAACTTCAAGAGTAGGTAGTAGAAAGTTCTTTACCTCAACTCCAACGAGTTGATGAGGTAGATTTTTTGCCATGACTAACTTTGATAGAATGTATTTTATCAGATATATTGAGCAGAATGTGTAGTTTGTCTACACCCAGATGGTATTATTCTTGTTGTGGCAGCCTTGTGACGCCCCGGGGCTGAATGGGTCAACAATCGGTTGCCTCCCGGCCACCAACAACCGGCACCAACCGATGGTACTCATTCATTGTCCTCTGTTCTCATTGGAATTACTACTCGGTTAAGTGGTGAAGCTAATTTGAGGGATTAAGTTTCAGTTCATAATTAAACAATTATGGTGCTTTTGTTGATTGAACACGGTCTCTCGTAGATTCGAGGTTTGGAGTACGATACATGTCTAATAAAAATCACGAAATATTTAATAAATGGCAATTTCTCAGCCGACAATATAATGCGATGAGAATTGAGATCAGCATGTCTTATGCATATGCAAATGCATTTGCTTTATACTTGAAGCGATGTAAATAAGCTAATTTATTTCAATAAAAAACTATGTAATGCATTTAACACACCCACAACCAATTCCATGGGTTAGCTTTCTATGAATTGTTCAGAAATGTGATAACTGTTTAGAACGAATTACTGAGTTTTACTCATTACTGGAGAATTGCTTCTATGTTCAATGTGCCTTCCAGACTTAGCCGCAAATTTATGAAAAAATATTCTCAAAAAGCGTGTAATAATGCAAAAGAAGAAGACCACTTACGAAGGGAGATTAATCTCATGTGACTATCATTTTCTTTTGACTTTTTTCACTCTTCTAATTATCGGTGTCTCCAATAATCAGAACATTCATGGAAAATTCGACCTTTAACTTCCCAAGCCAAGCTTTAACCCACAACTGAGAGCACAAAAAATCGCGTTCTATATGCACACTCGCTCGGACTCGCGAAAATTCGGAAAAACTTTGCAGTGTGCTCAAGCAATAGACCCTAAAACCTAACAGTTAACTTAAAACGACTCTTAAAGTTAAACATTTCAGGAGTTATTATGTTCGAATCTCGCACGAACAAGGCTGTTCCAAAAAGTACTCTTGTCTTGTAATGTCTCTTTTTGCGTACTTTCATACACAAAATTATTTTGCCTGCTATTACTTCACAGCACATGTCTGACTTGATATTTTCACCTTACCCAAAGTTATGTTCAATAATTAAACAGTTAAGAACGAAGTCGCTTTGGAAATTCTCTGCTACCTACTACAGACGTCGATCTTGTCGATCGACGTCTGTTCTCTTTCGCAATCTATCTCCATCTACACGTCTATTCATATATTCATATTTTCATTAATATCCAAATGATCTACGTATAACTATGGAACTAGGTGAACTTCCTGTAAATAAATTTGGGTTTGAAACCATTTTATTTAGACCTAACCCGTTGTAAACATCTCAATGCAACAATATAGTTTTATTTATCATTTACATATCATATAATAGCATTTTTTATCATTTCTTCATCCGTTGCAAAGAAGCACTCAATCGTAATTGCAAGAAAACCTGGCCGGCATCTGCAATATAACTATTAAATCTTGAAAACTGAAACACCAACAGATTAAGTACCTATTTCAAATGTTGTTGCCTACCAAAGCTGACGATCCAACTAATTATGATTTATGTCGAATGTTGTTCGTACAACAATTACTGTCCCAATGCGATTAAGCAAATTAAATGTAGATCTATACAAAACGCTTGTAAAATTAAGAGCCCAACTTTGTAAAACAGATGTATTGCGGTACCCGCCACCTCAATTGTTTTCTAAACATTCACATTTTATTTTTAAACCAAAGTGTAGAGAGTGCATAGCGACCGTTAAAGCTCAAAGCTTTTACGCTATAACAACTGACGGTAAAGGTTTGCCGGCTTTTGATTCCTTCACATAATTACATCTGTAGTGGGATCATTATAGAGTTTTCCAAAGCAAAACATTGCTTGTCAATACATCAAGCGCGAACAATAACGAAACAAATCAAAATATGTAAAATGTGATCATGCGAGTAGGAATTGTTACTGGAAAATGCATTCGTCTGGATGGAAAGCAAAACACACTAAAGATGCACAAAGGTTTGAAGTCTAGTGCAAGACTTTTGTTTCGAACTAAAGGAGCTCGATTCAGTGTGTATTTCTATCGTCAAAACTGGCTAATAAACGTTGAGTAACCTCTTCAAAGAACCATCTGTTTGTAACAAGAAAACTTATTATCGTTATAAAATATGAGGTTGTGGATCCCTAATTTCAAACACTTGGTTTTATTTTTAACTGTTTTAATATAAATTAAAAACATGTTGCTAAGTATAGCGCGTAATATCGATCTGGATTTTACTTTATTTTTAAATATTTAATATTTTAATAAACGTGTTAGGTATTTGAGGCTAGATGCCAAAAATAATCACAATTTCAGTTTCGACAGCTTTACAGCGGATTGGGATCAATTCTTTCACTTGCAACTTGGAATCGAGTTTAAAGTAAATTTAGTCGTTTAACAATAGCTGAAAGATGAAGTTATTTACTATTTTAAATTTATGGGATTTATGATGCAAATAATTGTGTACTTAGAGACTGATAATGTATGGCATTTTTAATAAACAAAAACCATAACTTTTCATTATGTTAACCTATAAAGGAATAAATGAACAAATATTTAGAATATAGAAATGGAAAGATAACTTTCGAAGAAATTATAAAGTTTTTGTTCACAGTGGAGTATTGCATATCTGAATGTACTATTCTTATAAACTTTGCTTCAGCACTTTCATTTACTCTTTAAGAACAACAATTTTCCTAAAATTATTCTGCGTTGAGATTATTTACGCACATACATCCCGCTGTACGATACGCATTATAATGGTCAAACTGTAGGGTTTTTGAAGTTCTTATTGTATTGATAGAGGTTTGTGAGTGATGTGATAACACTTAATAAATACTATCCTGCTTTTCTATCAAAATATACTTTAAACCACATCTTATACTTTAAACCGTTTGAACAAAAAACGTTGGTCAGTGATTAATAAGTATAAAAGAAAAAAATTTTTTGGTATTTAGCACAAGCACGGCGCACTCAGAAAACGTATTTCAGCTTTTCCAGAAGTAAACAGAATTTGCGTAAAAACAGAACTGAAATTAATTCTTTTGAGGTGTGATTTATGCGTTATTTGCGCCTATTATATTATAATATATATGTAGTGTTAGAATATATTTTTTGTTAACCGTGTTTCCGGATTTTCAAAATTTTAGAACAACTAATCCAGAGCAGAAAAACAATCGGCATTATTTTAGAGGGGATTACCAGCAGCTGAAGCAGGTGTTTCAGTCATGTATAGTGCGAATTTGCACTTTACTCCATCACGTCATCCGTATTTTTTTTCCACAGTTCAATACCAAACGCAGTATACGAGCTGACACAATTAACGTAAGCCACATGAATGTAAAATAAAGTCCACGACCGTCATATTAATTATGATTTTACCTTCACCGGCTTCTCACTGCATCAGTGCCTTTCCAGCAGCAGCAGCAGCAGCAGAAAATCTAGGACAATATCTTCTTTCCTCATTATTAGAAACGTGACCATTTTGCGTTATTGCTCTCTCGCATTACGGCGAAGGAAAACGACTAAATTCGAGAAGAATCGTTTGTCCTCGCTTGAATTGTAGGTTGTGGATTTTATGTAGGTGTAGTCTGAAAACACGATAAAATCATTTGCACGGAAATTAAAATGAAATATTTAATGAAGAATCTAAACGGGATAATGACCAGGAACTTGAGGATCACCAGTGTAGGTAGGAACCTGAGCACTAATGGATTTGAAGAAAAATTTGAATAACTAAACTTTCATTAGATTTCGTTTACATTAAAGTGTCGACATGAGTAATAAATATCATGAGACAATTTTATACTCGATCAATTTTTCATTATTGTAATTACTTGAAATCAGAATATTATACTAATCAACGCCTAATATAATTAATAACACAAGTTGTTGGCCCCCAACGATTCTCTCGCCATATATGTCTGAAACGTATCGATGATACGGGGTGTTGGGAAATTGGTACCACTCTTTGCAGGATTGGATTTACGGCGCTCGAAAAGTAGTTTGTTAAAGTAATGACAGGGTGTAAAACACTTTCAGCTTAGCATTTGATTAACAGGCAAGATATTTAGTAAAAGAATGAATCCAGGCTTTGCAACTGATGATAAGTGCAAATTAATCCGTTATTTCATAATAGAAATGGGTTCTGCACCCGAATAAACTACGTGTTACACTTTAGCCTGTTTGCGCCATTTAAACAGGTATTTTATACACTATTAAAATGTATGTATGGCCTTCACCTAAACCAAATTGTTGCAAATCATCAACAAAAATAAGATTGCGATTTCTACCCAGTTATACAAGTGTTGATTTGGCAGATAAATATGTTTATGCCAACGTGAGATAGTGGTTCAAGCCAAATTTCTGAGAAACTAAACAAATTTTCCATGTTGGTCTTAATACTTGTTTCTGTATGCCAGAGACTTAAAATGTTTTCAATCGTTCCCTCCCTATCAGTACCGAACATGGTTGCATCATATTAAGCTCCCCTACGACTATTTGCTTCTAATAAATATTCTATATGACACCAGTAAGTTACATCAATGGAGGCTGCATACTTAGATGGAGAGAACCTGAAGATGATAACCCAACACTTCAGTGTTGAGGAAACATTGATATTAGTTCGTAAGTTATGAAAAAAGCATAGAGCAGCAAATAAGCACAAGAGGCATCAATGGAAAACAGAAGAAATTCTGGACCTTGTCGAGGAGTTAAGACAATATAGGATCAACCAGAAGAATGTATTTCAGACATTTTGAATCATCAAAAGAAGATGACAAGAATATACCTTCGTCTTTTTCAGTCAATATGAACCTTAGTTAATACGGGTTTCAGATTCCATTCGAAAAACTGCCGGGTAATCGGGAATATTCCAGCAAAATTTTCGGACAAATAGCGCAACTGTTTAATTTTTATATTATTTCGCCTGTGAGCCTAGACTACTTGTATGCACTCTTCAAAGTATTTTCTATTCTTTATTTAAGGTCGAAGATGTGAATTATTCGTCAACATTGTTCCCAACTTTTTTAAACTTGCTTCATTATTCTGTTACATTTTCCGGACTTTGCGCGAAAACCGTTTTCTTTTTCCAATTTTACAGGTATATTCATATCTTCTCATTTAACAGGCCTCGTTTCATAAACAGTTGGGCATATTTTATTTCAACCTGAGGAATTATGTAATTGGTAGAAATTTATAGACCGTTTGATATTTTATTAGAGGAATGATTTATTCAAGTGTTTATTGGAATTAATTTATTAAATCGAGAAGATAATATTTCTTTACGGTGTTATTTATTTGTGCAATTAAACAGCAATTTAGCAGCTAAGTGTTGTTTTCAAGCTGCAAGGTTTTAGAAATGTGTTAAGCAATGTGTAATCAGCAAATATTGCCGTTACAAAAATGTCTCAACTTACGAAAACTTGTCACTAACGTCCTTATGATATATACTTGCTTTCTACAACAGCCTGCAATAAAATTTGTTTATGAAAATAGTTTTTTAGCCCTTTTGTCTCACAATAATCATTACTTGCTCAACTAAAAAGTGAATTGAGATACCAGCAATATTTTATGTATTTATCTATCGAGCATGCTTTACAGTTACGTCTTTCGCGCACCATTTCCTGATAATTTTCAGATATAATTTATCGCGCCAGTTTAACTACACATTGCATATACAAGTTTTCGTTTCGGGGAACTAAACGGTTTAATATAATTATATATTTAATCTAAAGTAAAAAAGTATGAAGGAAACTGTTCTTTTTGTAGCATCGTTTTTCAAATGACAAATTCTAACCATAATTCAACGGGACTGTTGTGTTATAAATTATTTCTACAAGAATGTGTTTATTTTAGATTTGAATATATTTGCATATATTCCAGTATAACCGATCCGGTAGTTGAGTTACGTTCAGTGTATGAAAACAACTAGAAAAGCAACTAATTGTTTGTCAAAAAACAAAGCCCACACGTATTATGCATTACTTGTAACATATTTTCACTTCAGTTATTCTAAACTGCAGCTTTGAAGATAAGTTTAATGCATCATAAATTATATTTATTATCCTATTCACTTAATGCAAATTTAAAATTTTTTTAATTATGGTGGAATAACCAAAAATATTGAAGGGTGACGCTACATTATTTTGGCTCATTGTGGCTCAATTTTTACATTAAACTTTATTAATGTTTATGAACCAATTAAATTATCCAATTCCAATTTACCAACTTGTATGTGACATGTATGTGTAAAATATTAACCGAACTCAGTAAATTTATGCAAACTCTTTTGATGATATTAAAGTCAAAAATCCCAAAGGGATTAAATGCGCACATTTCCAGTACATAGTTTATGCAACATATTTAATTAATAATAACAAAACCCACTTTTGCCTTTAATTCCATTAAATGAGGATCACATTCTAAGAATTTTCCGTTTTATTAATAATAGCCAATTTGTGATAGAAGGAAATAAAGTCCTACTACAATAATATAATAAATCGCTGATATTTTGACTTTGAAATGTCTACCCAGATCAAAACAAACTTTTTTACAGGATTAGTGCTAATCCCTACACATCTAAGTTATTGATAGTACGTGATGGCTGATTCAAACAATATCATATTTAAAAATTATACGCAGTAATTAAGTATTTTCACACACAAATTATGTTTTGTGGAACTGAACTGTTGATACAGGGGATTTGTGGTAATCTACCGGTGAACTTGTCGGCACTTATTATTAGTTCGCATTGCGAACTGCGTAAAAGTATACAACCAAATTCGCATGGAATAGCGATATGAAAACCATGAAAATTATGAGCATATCACTGTACAGATGTTCAAACAAAGCATTCAACAGTCATAATACTTGTTTTTGGAGCATCGAGAATCCGAGAGTTGTTCGAAGGGCAAACTTCCAACATAGGTTCTCTTTCAATATATGGGCGTGATAGGGGATATCTGGACAGGAACGATTATTTTACCAAATAGGATAAAT